GTAACTATCTCATTTTCGTATAGAAACAAATCGTCGGTGAAACCCTTCCTTTTTAGATGATACCACCAAGGGTTGTAGGGTGCTCTTTTAGACGAAATGATCAAAGAATATTCGGAGACACGTCGACTAAAGATTACTACACGAATCCACAAAGAAACGATCCAATTAATCAAGATACATAACGAGGATTTGAAAAAGAGTTAGAAGAAATGGTTCGATCCTCTTATCTTGATTTCTCGAACTGAGAGATCCATGAATCGGGACTTTCTATTTGTTCGAATATGTAAATAAATCGCGAATACGGTCCAAGTAATAAAAGCCCAAGTTTCCTTTGGGTCCCAACCACAATAGGATCCCCAGGATTCATTAGCCCATACTGCTCCTGAAAGAATTCCTACACGTCCACGGCCACGGCCACGACCCAAGTCATATCACGTCCATGGGTATGGTGTGTTCATTTTCGGTTCCATGTCTAGAGATTACAACATTTATTTCAGGAACTGCAGTAGACCCCGTGGGTCTAGATTCATGATTTTTCATTAATAGCTCATTATTTTGTTCAGCCAGCAACAAACAAGAAATCAGCTCAGAATAATTCTCAAAACCTTTTGCTCGATATTGTTGTTGCAAACGTACATTGGACGCATGAATTGTGGACAATGTTTTTTCCAACATATCATAGTCAATTATTGTTTCCCAGCATAATTTCATCATTGAGCAAATTCGAAACAATGCTAATTTATTCGCTCACTTTTTTAAAATCATGGAAACGTAACGACATCCATTCATGGCGAGCCCGAGGGAAATAACTATTTTTTTATGATTATACCTTTCTTTCAAGGCTTTCCACATATCCGATGGATCTTTCACGGTTAAATATTCATTTTTTAATCCCTCATTCATATGATGCCTTAGAAAAATCATGGCTCTCGCTTTATCTTGTATGGATGAATCATTTGGGGAAATTATTGTTTTTCCCAATCCCCTTGCATCTAAATGGATTTCAGCATCTAATGTCCATGAAATCTAATTTTTTCCCGAGATGTCAAGTACCTCAAACTCTAGCTTCACCAAGTTTGACATGGTAACTATAAAATACAACATCAATGCTTAGATTTGAGAAAATTCCATGTACAATCATTATTATTCAAAACGATCAGAAGAACTAATAAGAAAAACATTATACAAAGACTTAATACATAAAATATAAATTCAGCAGTATGATACAATATCGTGAAAATTCCCAAAGCGTATATAATAATCAATATAATGGTAATTATAAATAATAGATCAAACATTTTTTTTTCTTTTCATTTGAGGGGAATATGTTTTAGTAATTTGGAATGAGTGTAGTGTTATATATATATATATATATAATCTTTTCATTTGATAAATAATCGTTGCAAGAGCCGTTAAGAAGTCGTTGGAAACATTTTATTGATATAATGTTTGTAAGCTATATCATTCATAATTATAAAATACTAATTAATCATGTATATTACCTTAAAATTATCCAAGTCACTAGGTGAACAATTTTAGTAAATATAAGTAACAAAACTAATAAAAATGTCACTCCACACTACTTCATAAATCTTTCAGTTTGTACAAGAATAAACATTATAAATTTCACGCCACATTATTGGGTAAACCATTTTGTGGGTGTTAAGTACAAGTAATAATATTATGTACATTTATTATAACTTGAAGTTATTTTCTTAATCGTATAGTAATACATAAAGAAATCTTATAATATCATCTTACTACATATTATTGACTATGACATAGCTTTACTTGCCAATAATAATGGTAATATGTAGATTAGTAAATATACTAATTTTATGTAATATATATACATATATAATTAGTATATTCCTACCTTTCTGATCGGATAGAGCGCTCGTGCTGATGCCGTATTATAAGAAACGAGAAAGATAAAGAACTCAATATAGAAACCGGATATAAATTATACTCAATATTTATTCTTTCTTCTGAATGAATGTTCTTTCATTTCATTTAGAGTGCCTTTTATAAGCAATTTTACCGACAATACATACACAAATAATTCATATTCCATACCCCTTACTATTCACTTTACTATTTATGAATAGTGGTACATTCCACTTGCTCATAACAAACTCTCTATTCAAAACAGTATGTAAAGGTTGAGTGGTGGAGTGTGAAATTTAAACATGGATCAAGTATGAGATAGAAAATCCTAAAGTTGTGGATATCTAACAAGATATAATTTATTTATTGTAAACATAATAATATATCTTATTACTTCTTAAAAATAAATAAGTTACTCTAAAACAATATTATGCGGATATAGATAAATTGATTGGATGCCCCATGTATAGTACTACCTCCTATTTTTAATATATATCGTTTTGAGAAGTTGCACATTAAATAAAAAATATTTTTTTTGTCAATAATAACCTTATTTAATGAAGCTATAGATGAATGTTTTGAGAAAAAATGAAGAGTGAATATGAAAAGACATAATGTATTTATTAGCTAAATGAGGGTGATAATGGAAAAATATGTACAAAAGATCTAAAATGACATTTATTTAGCAAATAGATGATAAAACTAGAATGACATTTAAAAAAAATAGGAGGGAGTATTGATTATTATTTTGAACCACTATCAAGTACAAGTCAATTATGACGAATAAATTAGTTTTAAAATATTAATAATGCACTCATGTATATAAAAGTTTAGATTAGAAGAAAATTAACTAAATTTATATAAAAATCATGTAAAATATCACTATAAATAAGAGAAACATATATAAATGCTTAAAAAACAATAAAAATTTCAAACGGAGGTTGTTTTCTCATTCAATTTTTCGTAAACATTTATGCTCATATCACTTTTTAATATGTTGTTCGTTGTCTAGTGTAATTTCAGTGTCGTTCGACTTTCATTCCAATCGAGTGGTATATTCTGTGTCGTTCGACTTTCATTCCAATCGAGTGGTATATTGTTGGACTCATCTCCTAGAGACTGAAGTACCCATGCAATTTCATCACACTCAAAGTTCGTTTTTCCATTCAATTTTCTTTAAAATACTTCTACGTTGTTAGAATATCACTTTTGAGTTGTCCTACATCGTGATATTCTACCATACTCATTTTCATTTGAGTGCATTGTTCTCTGGTGGAAGTTGCAGCTTTTGACTTCATTTTGAGCTAGTAATCTACCATTGGAATCATATTTTTTAGGCGTTTTTACCCATACAATTTCAGCTCGACTAGAGTTCATTTACCCGTTCAATTTTCTGTCAAAAAAATGAAAATATGATGTTCTGTTTACATGCTAATTTCATCATCAGCTTCCAACTTCCATTCTCATTGAGTGATCTGCCATTGGACTCGTCTCGTTCAGGTCTTACTCATAAAATTTCAATTCAATCAAAATTTGTTTAGTTATTGAATTTTTATTTTTGATTCAGCCCATTTTTGGCCGAAATTGTATACACTAATTCTATCACGGACAACAAATAATTCCAAGAGAGTGATTAGTGTATAATTTTCTTATACAATTGACAGCTTAGAGGTTTACAAAAATTCTATGGAGACATCGGATGATTTTCTTGTGGAGTCATCCATCACTTAATTTATTGATACTTATTCGATTTGTATTTATTACAAGACACGTGTCAATACACTATTAGTAAATAAGTGTGAATGATTCCATAAGTCGAGCCATCCGATTGCTTTATAGCAAAACTGGTTGAGTTTAATGATATCACATATATTTTTTAGTGTATTGTTTTGAAATTTTACCAAATATTAATAGTATGATCATAAAGTGCGAAACCAACCAGAAAATCTCATATTATAATTAAAAAAGTTTTGGATACGGAAAATAATATAACAAATATTTTGTAGTATGTATTTTTTCATTATAATGTCCTTTGCATATGGAGCTGGAAGAGTCATTGTTGACAATTCTGTTGGCATAGTGCTAAGAATGGACTAGATCAAAATGGCTCAATTAAATTCTAGTGCTTCTTCTATTAGTGAAGTTTCTAGAAAAAATATATCAAACGACGCAACGAACTTGGGTCGCTATGGAAACAGCCTCCTTGTATAATTACAAGGGGAAAGTCTGCGTACAACTGAACCCCAAGACCCCAACCTGTTGGGAATATACTGGATATGTTGATGTTGATGTATTTTTTCATTATAATTAAAAAATATAATAACTTTTACTTTTCCAATATTGTTATATTTTTCTTTATCAAGTAGTTGTTGATTGTATTTTTTTATTTAATTATAAAATATGGTATTTTTACTTACTATATATATGTGTAAGATATTGGCTTCATTATGGAACCAACAGTTGGTTCCATAGCAAAACTATGTAAAACATATCTTCTTTTTCTCCTTTTTTTTTTTATTTTTCCTTCTTATGGAGGAATGATAGTGTAAAATAAATAATTATTTCCATCTAAATAAAACAAAAAATAATATCATTAATTAATATTCATTTATAAATAAGAAATAAATCTAAATTTATGTCATTAAATAAAATAATACATATGTAAAAAAAAAATAGAATTAATTAAATTAAAAATCTTTTGTATAATTGTCTCTGCATGCTTGGTGAAGACAATTACTTCAAAGGAAACTTCCAATTAAAGCTGGCCTCCTCATTTGTCATCTACTAAACATGTGCAAATCAAACTTCCACATATCTATTTTATTGTTTCACAATTTCCTTCTTCAAGTCTTCCCTTAAAAAAATAAAATAAAAATGGAATAAATTTGAATATTTTAAGCAATATGTGTCTCTCACACACTAGAACTATATACATTGAAATAGAACTCTAAGGTCAAAAACACTACTGAATACCCAAAAACCATCACCTAAATCAAAATCACATATTATGGCCCCTCCAACTCCAAGATTAGTAATTCCCATAGACCTCAAGAGAAGTCCATGGCACCAAAACCCGCCGCCCCACAACCGGTGGCACCCGGAGATACCTCCGGTGGCTGAGGTGAAATCCGGCGAGATTTTTCGGGTGGAGATGGCCGACTGGACAGGTGGGGCCATTTCCGATGATGAATCTGCACTTGATGTAAAAAACTTAGACCTTTCAACTGTAAGTATATGCACAGTTTTCTCAAGTTCAAGTTCACCAACATATGTGTATAATACTACAAATTCTTTTACCGTCGTCGCCTAATTGTTCGGTAGTTCGGAACGATTATACATTCAAATTATATTGATTTGTAATATGACATAATTTTACAAATTATTGTGTCATGAGTTCGGCTAACCGTTAGTCGGATTGACTCATAACAAATATATATATATATATTTATACACTTATATAATGAAATATTACATCTTTACTAGTTTTCAATATGACATTTCAATTTGAATGCAATATTTATATTTATTGCAAAAATATATATATTCATGTAACTGTTAGTAACTAATGAATGTTTTCCAAGATATGGAGTAATTAATATTTAGTTGTAAATTAATATGATTGTACGTGTGTATCAGGTTCATTATCTAAGTGGGCCTATTAGAGTTGTGGACACGGACGGGAAACCAGCCCAGCCCGGAGATATTTTAGTTGTGGAAATTTGCAATCTGGGCCCAATGCCGGGCCATGAATGGGGCTTCACTGCAATATTTGATCGGGAGAATGGTGGTGGATTTCTAACTGACCACTTTCCTTGTGCAACCAAAGCAATTTGGTATTTTGAAGGGATATATGCTTATTCTCCACATATACCTGGTAATAATGTTGTTGTTGTTGTTGTTGTTGTTGTTGCTGCTGCTGCTGTGTACGCATTGTTGGCCGATCGAGATCAAGATTTTTCGTCAAAACTATACAAACCAGTCGAAATCGGAGTAGCTCCCAAAACTTTTATAACGTAACCGACCAAAAACATCGATTCATCTCTCATGGACATATGTCATTCATCTCGAACATGACTTTGTTGGCCACAGTAGGGAATTAAGTATTGTACGGAACATTGAATGCAATAGAAATTTGCTAACGCTTAATCGACCGCAGGTGTAAGATTCCCGGGTTTGACACACCCGGGAATAGTAGGAACCGCACCTTCAATGGAATTACTAAGCATATGGAACAAAAGGGAAAGGGAGCTTGAAGAAACCGGTCTCGGATCTCTCAAATTATGCGAAGTCTTACATTCGAGGCCGCTTGCAAACCTCCCATCGACCAAGGGGTGTGTTCTTGGCAAGGTATACACGATAAACTTAAACACACTAATACCAATGTAGGTACGATTTTATGGTGGAGATATGTAGTTTGGCTCGTTTGGAGCAACTTCGTTCGCTTAGAACATGAGTATTGGTTGTTCATAGAACTTGGAAAGTCGATGAGCTAAAAAAGAAAATCTTCGTTTACGACTTTTCTTTTTTAACTTAATGTGTTTGTAGATAAAGGAAGGAACTTCGGAATGGGAAAGAATAGCGAGAGAGGCTGCTCGAACAATACCCGGACGAGAAAACGGAGGGAATTGCGACATCAAGAATCTGAGCAGAGGCTCGAAAGTGTACCTTCCCGTTTTTGTGGAGGGCGCAAACCTTAGCACAGGGGACATGCATTTCTCACAAGGTGATGGTGAAGTTACATTTTGTGGCGCGATCGAGATGAGTGGCTTTCTCGAGCTCAAGTAATTCCGAACGTGTTTTTTATCGTCCCTTTCAAATATAGCTAACAAATCGAGGCATTGTTGACTATCCTATGAAAAATATTTGAAAAGGCACATCGGTTGAACCGGAAAAAACCCAAATCTTTTTTCGGGTCCCGGAAAAATTAAAGTATTTCGAACAATCTTAATTCAGGTGTGAGATCATAAGGGATGGCATGAAAAAGTACCTCACCCCAATGGGCCCGACCCGTTTGCACGTGAACCCGATATTCGAGACAGGGCCCGTCGAGCCCAGATTCTCCGAGTGGTTAGTGTTTGAGGGAATCAGTGTCGACGAGAGCGGGCGGCAGCACTACCTCGACGCCAGCGTGGCCTACAAGCGCGCGGTTCTCAATGCCATCGACTACATTTCCAAATTTGGATACTCCAAGGAACAGGTTAATTAATTAATTAATTTACTTATTTACTGTTGTTTTCAAATCTCATTTCATCTAACATTTTTATTTTTATTTTTATTTTCGGAAATAATGATAATGAATCCAGGTTTACCTTCTGCTGTCGTGCTGCCCGTGCGAGGGAAGGATCTCGGGAATAGTCGATTCTCCTAATGCCGTCGCTACACTTGCCGTCCCGGTTGCCATATTCGACCAAGTAATTCAATATCTAAGACTAAACTAGATCATGAAATAAAAATTATTTTTCCAATTTTTTTTTCTATTTTTGCCAATGATTCATTTAGAGCTTCATTCATTAAGTTTTGTACTAATGCAGGATATCCGTCCCAAAACCTCGGATGTGCCTGTCGGACCACGTGTCGTGAGGAATCGAGGCCTCCCGCAGTGTAGTTACGATGGGAACTTGCCGACCACCGTAAACCCTTCTGCTACACTCTGATTCATTATCATCAGATGACAAGAAACATTAAAGTGTAATCGCGGCTAAATAATCAGTCTCTGTAGACATAAATAAGCGAACTTATGAATAGAAGTCGTGTATATAGTGTGACTCTGTTCCATATTATGCATGTATTTATATTTGAGCTACCATAGTTTGTTATTAAGATGCAGCTAGCTTGTGTTTGCATTTGAATTTTTGGTTTTCTAGTGAAGAATCCTAGTCAATTTATGGGCAAGAGCGAGTGAAAGGTATCCAAATTGTCCGTTTACAACATTTGTGTGTGTGTTTTAACTAGTAAAGTGTTGCGCGTAATGTATTCTCACGCGCGTGTATGAATGCTTCTTTGCCCGATTTTCATACTTTTGATGTCAAGATCATCGTATTACGAGTTACTTCACTTAGACCAACTCGAGTATTTGTATCTAAATTGAGCATGTTTTTGTCGTCCGAGAGTGATATATATTAAGTATGGGGAGGTGTATCGGAGGCTCGTGAGCTTTTGTTGAACACTTGATGAAAATTAATGGTTGTTTTCGGTGTTGAGGCTTGTTTGAAGACATTGTTGATTATTTTGGAAATGAGGTGCACGTGGTGATTTGCTTCGAAATTGATTATCTCATGGGAGTTCGGTTGTGCTTGTGGATTAACATTGATTCAAAAAGGGTAGTACTTCATTGATTATGTCGGCAAGGCAAGTCGAGAGAGCATTGGCGATTTGTTTCGAAATTCTTTATTTTGTGGCATTTGATGGCGTTCCGAGTCTAGTATTGTCGCTCGCACATCTTTGGCGACTCGATTTTGACATGACGCATCGTTTTGTATTGTTATATTATATGGAGTTTTCGATCTTGACGTGGGGATCCGTTTTGCATTGTTTTTTTTTTTCTTTTCGGGCCATTGACTCGATTCCATTGCATAGTTATGTTCGTTCCTTGTCATTTTCCTTTCACTTGTTTGGGTACGCAATGAGGACAATGCGTTGTTTTAAGTGTGGAAAAGGTTTTTGGGAATCTTGCATATTTATGTGGTGGATCAATCTAGCTTTTTAGGTTTATTTTGTTTTTGTTTTCGTGTTTTGCTTAGTTTTGTGTTAAATAGACCAGTTTTGTGTGTTTATGTTGCTTCTCCCGCATGAAGTCTAATGCTTGGTCGATATTACTTAACTTTTTATTTTGGTAAACATGTTTATATCAATTTGAATTGTCTCACTTTATATCTTTCAATGAGTTTAACTCCGGCGATTCTAAGTCGATTGAAGATCTATTGATGTGGGACACATAATTTGGAGTCATGGCCTAGCTTTCATATGTGTATTTCCCGATTGGTCAATACTTTGAACTTGCTTTCTTTGAGGATTCATGTGTAAAAGCTCATGTTCGTAGTCTATTCTCGTTATTACACATTGTGATGTATTGATTTGATTGTATTCACGTTGTTGTGTTGAGTTGTTTGCCCTCTCTAGGAAAAAAAAAAAGAAATAAAAAATAAATAAAATGTGAGTTCACGAGGAAGTACGGACTAGACTCCTTTTATTCTGATCCACTTCGTGAAATGGGATAATGAGCCCCGGAAACCGGTCTAGGAGACTCGATGAAACCTCTCGAGGCTACACCTAGATAATAATCGTCCGAAAATCTCATTTGGGAAAAAAACTAAAAAAAATGGTTAAATAATATGAGTTCGTGAGAGTTGAAAAGATTAGAGTCTGCTTAACCGATTAGTCTCCTCCTAGATGGATCGGTTCAATGAGGAAGGAAAATCGACCCTAGAAGACTCAGAGACAAACTCTAAGGTTACACCTAGGTAATAGTTGTCCTAACAACTCTCATTTAGAAACAAATTGACTCATGTAAAATAAATAAAAGAAAAAAAAAACAGAAGAAGAATAAATAAAAAGGGGGAAATTTAATCTTATGTTTGAGTTGGCTTATAGTCCCATGTTCTTGTTGAAAATATTTGAATTGGGGGACCGAGATTGCATGCATGATGCTTGTATAATTGTAAAAGTTGGTTTGTGATGAGTCGATCATGTGTGGAAGAGCATTGGATGTTTTTTGCTCTGTATGATTCGAGATTGTGGGAAACTTATTTTTAAATTAAATATCGACTATAAGAATCTCGTGGAAAAATGAGATTGACATGTTTTAGGACATACAAATGAATGAACAAAATTATCTTTTCGAAAGGTTGGCGAGATTGTTTGCTTGAGGACAAGCAAATGGATAAGTGTGGGAGGTTGTTTTATATGTTTTTGTTGTTATTAAATGTGTTTTATTTGAATTCGTTTTAGTTTATTTTCCATTGTTCCCGGATCGTATTATTTTGGTGTCTTGTGTTTTTTTATTTCTCTTTATATGTTTTATTTTTGTAGGAAATTTCACTCGGGAAGGTTGTCGAGAAATGCACCGAGAAGTGTCAAAAATTCACCCGAGAAAGTGCTCGCGCTCGAGGAGACTGGTTGGTGCCCAGTGGACCCGCGCGCGCATGCAGCCCAAGCGACCCGCATGACCCCATCCATCGCACCTCCGCGCCCGCAAAAGGCACTCGTCCATGTCGCGAGTTCCCTGATGCTCGCGAGTCTCAAGCTTGCTCGCGAGTATTACAAGCACCTGTGTGCCCGAGGAAGCCCTGCACTCGCGACCGAGACGCAACCCGCGAGGTCGCGAGTTCCCACGATCCATGCCCACACACTCGCCAAAGAGTTCACGTCCATGACATCGCGAGTTCAATGAAACGTGCCTATCCAATCCAGCACTCGCCAGCGAGTTCACGTTTGCAACGTCGCGAGTTCAGGCTCGTGCACAACATCAGCACTCGCCCGCGAATGAGGTCGTGAGTCCAGCCTTTGCCCGCGAGTTTTGATTATTAAATGTGTGTGTTTTAGTGTGTTTTGTGGTGTATCTATAAATAGTCTTAGTCCTTTGTGTTTTAAAACTACTTCATCATTCGCAAGATTTTTCTTTTTGTTTTTCTCTCTCTCTCTCTCTCTAGTTTTATTTCTCTCTATAAGGGCTCCAAAATTCAATTTTTATTGTAATAATTATTAGTCAAGATTGCAACTTTTCGACTTGGATACTTCGTTTAAGGTCCAAGATCTCGTAAATTTTTCTTATCTTTACTTATTAGATTTCTAGGATAAATGTATGAGCTTTCATGGGTAGAGTATGCTATCAACCCGTAGGCTAGGAAATATATGATTATATGGTTGATCGCGTGAGCGAGAATTAATTGAGTGCTTGATTAGTTGATTCGCAAGTGGCGATTGCTTGATTGTATTTTTTTGAACCTATATGTGTCTTCTTTCCATCTCGGGTCTTATGGTACATTGTTCTTTTTCTTTCTATTGTCCTTTTCTTGCAATTTGAGATGTTGCTTGCGACAAAGTTGGAATCTTGCATGTTAAAGTTGCTTCTTGCTTTCAATGTAGTTTAAATTGTGATTTTTTTTTTCAATTCACCCACCAAATTGCCAGTAGAGTGTTTAGGACTTTTTATTTTTCTTTTCTTGTATGAGCAAATTGTTGCTTAAATTTGTGTGCATACAACTTTCCTCAAGAGAAACGACCCGAGATCGAGGAAATTTAATCCGTACTCGACCAAAAGTTACAAAACACTGCGAAACATAATTTTCCATGTTCAGCGGTTGCCAAGAGTTTTCTATATATGCAATTCAAGGACCAAGAAACAACTCTTTCTCTCTCCCATCGAGCTCCTTTCTCTCTCCCAAATAAAAAAACCAGATCCTCTTTCCTGTCACCCCCCTTAGCCTTCTACCGGTCATCAGCCCCCCGTTTCCGGCTTGGCCGAGGTCGGAGGATTCCTTTCCACCCCATGCGTGGGTCGATTTTGTAGCGGCTCCCGAAGTTGCTGCGGGTGGCTCTCGTGTCGGCTCGGGTTAGGGTCGCAGCTCCGTTTTTCCTCCTCCGGCCTCGTGCCCGGCCGGGAGTCCTCCCTTTGGCCACCTTATCGTGTTTCTGGTTGGAGGCTCCCAGAGGCTGAGCTTCCTTTCTCGGCCTCGGCGGCGGTAGTGTGTCTCGTCGTTGCCATTCTTCGCGTATGCCTCTTCTCTCCGGTGCGGATGTTCTATGAAGGTCATATCTGAACTGAGAATTTACTCCTCGTCAGATCTGTCTAGGTGACTCAATTTCGTCGCAGTTTTTGGGTCTGGGGTTTCGGTTTGCTCCTCTCTTGTGCTTCTGTGCGGTAAACTTTGGCTTGTGCGCTGGTTCGGGCGGCTGTGTGTTCTGCTTGATAGGTGTAGGGGAAGTCTTATTATTAGTATATGTTTTTAGGTGTGTGTTGTTTTTTTATCTTTTTGGTTTTGTTGGTTTGTTAGTGCAGCTATGTCTGCAGTTAGTGCAGTTATGTCTGCATTTAGTGCAGCTTTGTCTGCTTTTAGTGCAGCTGTATCTGCTTTTTTGTAGTTTTTGTTTTGTGGTTGTTTGATTCCTTGATGGAGTTTGTACCCCTTGTGTGTGATGACAAGGGGTTGGTCCAGTCTTCTGGTTCCAGTGTGTCATTTGGCACTTCGATTGTGCTCTCTTGAATTTTTTAAGTTATTAATATAATTGTCGTTTGAAAAAAATAAAAAAAAATAATAATAAAAAAATAAAAAAATAAAAAAATTCAAGGACCAATGTCAACTGTTGAGATTTCTCTCCAATAAATCTTCTAAAAAAATGTTTGTACTCACGATCTGATTTCTTGGAAAAATTGTTACAGTTACACTTACTAAATTGAATATTAGGGCATTATAACTGCAGTTTATGTATTTTGTAACTTAACATTGATTGATCCTTCTCAAGACCCCCTCCTTGTGGTTTTAAAGTGCACAAATTTGTTGTGAGGTCTGACTTAATAACCCCAGCAACCACACTTTTCACATTTCAAGCAACCACAAGACTTCATAAGAATGACAAAATGCAATAATCATTTTTTGCATGATACTGAATACACCAATATGCAGGACTATATTGGTTCTAACACAACCCGTCGCCAATAGTTGATTACTCTATGTAAAAACACATATAAGAACCCCATCGCACCAAATTTTCACGATCCAAACAACCTGAAACGAATAAGTAAAAGTCTTGATTTCACAAAGTTCACTACGCAAAGAAAGTCAAACCTCATGACCAACGAGCACCGCTCGATAAAAAGACTACCCACATCATTTTCCTAACACGAACCAGTTCATAGCAAAAGACATTAGAATTTTAACCAAAAGTTATAGTGTTCCAGCACCATCATTAAGCCTCAACAGCAGCAGCAAGAGGTTCTTCATCGGTCGAATCAGATGAAGCAACCTCATCAACAGAACCAGTAACAGATTCATTCTCACTTTCAGGCTCGGTATCTACAAGCTTCTCTCTAAGCTTATTCATGAGCTCGTTGCTTGCGCTCTCATTCTCTGAAAGGTATCTCTTCAGAGCATCCTTGCCTTGAAAATTTTGTTCCCCCAAATAAAGAAATGCACCGGCCTTTTTGATGAATTTGTGTTTGACTCCCAAGTCTATGAGCTCGGCCTCACGACAAATGCCACGGCCGAACTCTAGCTCGAATTCGGCCGTTCTGAATGGAGGGGCGTGCTTGTTCTTTACTATCTTCGCAACTACTTGGCTTCCTATTGTCTGCGTGACAAACGGATTAAGAGGAATTTGGATTCAGCAGATTGAAATTGAAATAAGCTTTAGAAAATTTACAGGGTTTATGAAATTAAACAATCACGAAAGAGAGGATATTTTTAAGAAATTGAATTGTTAAATGCGTGCGTTTGTTTTGGCAAAAAATATAAAAAGAGGAAGGGCTTTTATAAAATGGTTTAAAGGACGTTCCGTTGTCAAAGACCATTGAAATCTCTTTTCCTTTAGTTCTTTCGAGTGAAACCTTAGTTGATTCAATCAATCTAAGTTGAATTGATGATTCTGGTGGTCAAGTCTGGTATAATCCAAATATATAAAGAATCAAATATTTTGTGCTCATTGTGAAATTCAGAATGCATATTCACCAGACTTCCTATCCATTCACCAGACTTTCTATCCACACAATAATGGTAAGCCCCAATATGTTTTTCTTTTTATTTTTATTTATTTATTTATTTTCTATTTCTTTTGAGAGAGAATAACAAACATCTCGAATAATTTCAATAGAAGGAAGTGTTTCATATTGGGACCAACTAATAATAAGATTGTTCAGGTACAATTGAAATACTTCTCATTGAGAACAATTCAGACACGAGCTTCCACATAATCAAAAGAAATACGAGAGCAAGATTTATACCTCTTCTCCCTTCTTGACTAACCCTGTCCTCCTAACATTAAGACGTACTGAAGCATAGAATTTCAAGGCATTTCCACCACAAGTAACTTCAGAGGGGCCGCCAAATCCAAAAGTGGATAGTTTTGCCCGCACCTACAATTAGATGTTGCTCGTTAGTGAATAATACAAAGAAAAGGTTCCGTATTTATCAGCCAGGCCCCAAGTTCTGTATTTGACTTATCAGGTATTCAGCCATATCAATGTCAACCACATTATTACCTATAGCAGTCAGAAAAAAAAAAAAAAGGAGTTCTATGAAATTAAATTAGATATTCTCCAGGCATTATTTTAAAATGAGGATGGGGTAACAGGATAATAGTTCAAACTGAGTGAATGAAAGCTTATCAGTAAAGGATTTCGAGCTATTCCCCTCCCATTCATACAGATCGAAAATGCTTCAACTTGAAATAGAAGTCAATTAGTTGACCCTGGTGTATTTCCAGATTTCAACACAAGAATACATTTGCCAAATAATCCAATATGAAAATATATACTCATGGCGAAAGTTTAACATATAAGGTTATACTTAAATGCATACTTATCTGGAAAGGCTTATAAGTATTAGTCCTACCATTAAATGAACAGACTTTCATTTACCAATTGCACTTCGTCAAATAATTGAGAGGGAGACAGAAGTGAAACACCGACGAAAATGAATCATAATAGGGCTTGTATATAAAGACCTTTGAATATTACGATTCAGACACAAATTGATAAATCCAACAGAGACATACCATGTGGAAAATACAGTAGGGTGTGGATGCAAAAAGATTTAAAAACGATAAATGCAACAAAAATATTTAACCCATGCCTGATTTGTAAAAATCAATATTGTCTGCGAGAGAGATAATGAGTGGCTCAATTTGCGAAGTGCTTGACTCATAAGCCTTGCTTGCATTGCCATGTGGGCATCTCCCATTTCACCATCAAGTTCACCTTTAGGAACCAAAGCAGCCACCTACCAAGAAAAACCAAAAATATAATGCAAATAAGACAATGATGTCTGTTTACTAGGTTTGGCCAGTGGCATTCATATAATCTTTACTTACACTATCAACAACAACGACATCTACTGAACCACTCCTGATTAGGGTATCCACCAGACTGAGAGCTTGCTCACCACAATCTGGTTGTGAGAGAAGCAAATTTTGGGTGTTTACTCCAATTGCCTCAGCTAATGATGGATCTAGAGCATGCTCAGCATCTACGAAGACACAGTAGCCTGCATAGGACAAAAGAAATAATAAGCACGAATTATTTTATACTTGATAATCTACAACTAAAGCTATTACTGTACAAAAAAAATCTCATTCACTACCAACGTAATTTTACAAGTAGGATCAGCATCTCAACAACATGGAACAGATGAAATTTCTTCTAAAGTGAACGTGGGCACTCAAAAAGCATTAACTACTGATAATAATTTACAAGAATCAACACGCCATACATACTATGCTCCTCAAAATTAGAATATTGAAATCTGAGGGATGAAGGTAAAAGGAACAAGCCTCTAACTGGAGTAAAAATGGTCGTGATGACTAACCTCCTTGTTTTTGTGCTTCAGCAATCACGTGCAACGCAAGAGTTGTTTTTCCAGAAGCTTCTGGACCATAAATCTCCACAACACGTCCCTGATAGAACTCAAATGCTTCAACTCCAAATAAATACATATACCAGAAACACTATCAAACATTGTAATTCCTAATTTCTAACACCTGTGTGTTGCCGTCAATGTTTGAACTAACATATAGTTACATGTAATTAAAGAGGATAAGTTAATTGCATAAATGTCAACCAGCAAGGTCAAGAATGGTAATCGCAAATAAAGGGCATCATCTAGTGACTGCCAAAGTGGAAGCATGATGATTGACAATAAATTAGTAAAGATATAGGCTAATATTATTGGACCGATCCCCAAATTTTAAGATTTGCCAGAAACATTAGGACATGCTGGTGTGATTTGAACAGAACATTTCAAGCTTAAAAAACATTTACTCATGCTGAGTCCATTAGACCAATCACCAACTGCCCAGATATTTTTGCAGTTTCACATCAACAGACAGTTAAACTACACAAAACATGTCTCATCAACAGACAGAAAATTGCACCATTGCATTAAAAAAATAATAAAACAATTCAGATAACACTGTCGGATAACCTTCGGAAGTCCTCCTACTCCTAAAGCAACATCCAGAGCAAATGATCCAGTAGACACCACTGGAGTGTTCTTATATGAAACTGTGCGGCCAAGCCACATAATGGACCCTTTCCCAAACGATGCAGTGATCTGATCCAAAGCTTGCTTCAGTGCTAAATCTTTCTTTGACAAATTTTCATCAGCAGAATCACTTGCACTTGATTTTGTTTTCTTTTTAGCTACAGATACATGGAATTGCATGATTTAAATTTTCACAAACATATCAAACAGAAGCCATAAAGATATGCTGAAACTCAATGGAAAAATAGCATTGAGCAACAAACTAGCACTACTAAGGGAAAATTTCAGTGATGATACAAACAGATGAACAATCCTCATTTTGAAGCCACAAATGAAAAATCATCATCAACTCATAAATTTGCAGAACTCTCAAATGGTACAAATGATCAGATTATACACATAACAAGATAATCCACTCTAAGTCAAGTAATCCATCAACATAAGGACATAATTGTAAAGGTCAACTCCATGGATTAATGGGTGAAGAATTAATCAGATTAGCAACCAGTGGGATAACTCCAACATCAAAGAAAATGTATTATATCCTACAATTCTCATCTGAAAGCACAGTCCGAAAAAATGTAGTAATGTAAATGTGGATATAGTTACTTTAACCATATCCATATGATATCTCTTTTGCAGTTGTTCCTAAATATAAGAGCTCAATAGCTCTCTAAAAAATATATGAAAAACTTATACACACACACACACACACGCACGCCAAGAGAGAAACATGTGAATAATCCATGAAATGCTATAAGAGCTCAATAGCTCTCTAACAAATAGATGAAAAACTGATATACACACACACACACACACCAAGAGAAATATGTGAATAATCCATGAAAAAATGCTGGCAAGCCATTAAACATGAGACAGAAGCAAGAAGGAAGCTCATCGAGAAACACAAGATTACCTTTAGCAGAGAAGTTGTACATCTGTGTAGATGTACCCAATAATCCTCTCCTAGGTTCCTGAAACATAAACACGATACGTATAAACAAATTAGTCAGCTGGGCAACAACCATTCCCTAACACCCAGCCCATTCTAGCCTCATGGTTTCTTTCCTTTTCCATACCACACAAACAAAAAAGAGTTTATAAGTAGAGAAATTTGCAAAAATATCACCTTTTCACACTCTCTGAAAAAAATCGTAATACCGATAGTCCTTTTTTTTTTGTCATAATAGACAAAAGCAGCCTTATCTCAAAACACATACAGAAAAGGTCACATTTTTTTGCAAATTTTCCCTAAATATTCCCCCGCCAAAGAGTACATCCCCCTCATATTTGAAGAAAAATATCATAAGAAACAAAGAACAACACAAATTAAACAACTTATCACTCCACCTTCCCAACCAAACACAAGATCTTCAAACAAGAATAAGAATAACAATGATACGCATACTAACGGTCCACTTTTGCGTGCATACACACG